TTGGTTGATGGTTCTAGAGTGTTACTAGTAGGAACTGTACCATTTGGGGAGAGACTATGCAGATCTAGAGAGGGAAAAAGAATAAGATGCAAAACAAGAGGATTTATGACAATAAGTGGGAGAGTTCATTAGTGAATTAAGATTATTTTCTAGCACATTTTTTATATCAAGTGTTATCCAAACGACATTCAAAGTAGCGCTATGACATTCTTATAAATATGCCAAAATATTTTATAACGAGTGTTGACTTACCTATCATAAAATGTTCTTTTTATAACAGGTAAGTCAACACCTATTGTAAATGTGTTAGTCAACCTTGGACACTAACCATTCTATGACGGGTAAATCGTCACCTGTCATAGGATGATTTGTTATTACCCATATTGAGAGCATGAGCCTAGATTGTGATCCATTATTTCATCTTCTTCTCTAGCAATGACATCTGTGGAAATTTTCGGTGAGCTCTCTTTGCACATTATTGACCAAGCTTAAGATGAAGACATAATTCTAGTTAGTTTTAACAATTACAAATGAACCTTTTGAGAGATAAAAGTATAACTTGTAGTTTACTTTGTGTTTTGAGCCTCTTGATAAATTAGAGTGCAAGTTGTATCTTGTTTTGTGTGGTTTTAAACTTTGTTGCATGAGTGTTTTGTGCTTGGTAAGTGTTGGAGAAAAGATACACACTAGAAGGGGGTTGAATAGTGTATATCAAAAACTTGTACTATTGAAAATAAGTAGTGAAAGCTTGACAAATACAGTGCTGAAATGCAATAGACGAAAGAGCACAAGTCTTTTATATCGGTTCGTCTCAAACACAAAGACTACGTCCAGTTCTCAATCTAACCAGATTGAGTTCCACTATCTTTCACAAGATACAAGTATTCTTTCAACAAGCCACTTCTGGCTCAATTCCAAGTAGTCTTTTAGTTGCCTCTCGAAGCAAACAACCCCAAGTATTCTTTAACAAATAAGCCTTTTTAGGCTTAATAACCAAGTATTCTTTTAACTACAAGCATTTTCAAGGTCAATTCTTACAAATAGAAATTTGAAAAGAGCTACAGGGATAGCTTCATCTCTTCTAGACGTGATGCTATGAAAATTAAGCACAAACAAACTATATAAGATAGAATTTATCTACAAGGTATGCACTTAAATTTTTAATGATATGGTAACTTTGTTTCTTCTCTCTCTTATTTCCTTGCTTGTAATGTTGTCTTGATTAAGAATCCCTTATATAGTAGCTTGGAAGAAAATGACCATTGAGCAATGTTCTCAAGATGCTTCGTCTATCTTCTCTTGGAGACCATAGAGTGAGAGAGAGAGAATAAATTAGTTGTTACTCCAAGCATTTAATGCATTGCATGAAAATGTTCATCTCTTATCTGATATTGGCACCTACTTATCATCATTTCATTAAGTAGGGTGAAAAGCAGTGGCTAAATCAAAGCAATATAACACATTTAGTGTTCTTGTCTGCTTTTTCAAGATTTTTGGGATTTTTCTCTTTCTTTCCTAACACAAAGATTGACTTTCCATTGCTAACAACTTTTGGTGTCTTCAAGGAAGTTGTTTCATTCGATTCGTTAAGGAAAAAAGTATCCAATCCTCTTAATAATAATCTGACTTGATAACAAGAAATAAATTTAGTAGTGAATCAGATTATATGCTTCATCTGATGTCCTTCGTCTTACAAATGAAATATGATGTTTGTTTTGTCTAAAATAGTCTTTGAAAAAAAAATTTATTTGTTATCATTAAAACATAAATTATTGAAGGATCCAAAATCGTCGTTTGATTTTACAATAAGTAACTTAGCATTTTATCTCTATCTAAATAATGATTGATGAGTTAGTATATGTTAAAATGGATTTGTAAAGAGAAATTGTATGAAAAATTGAGATACAAAGTTTTCACTTAAGATAATCAATTATTTCAAGTAATAACTGATTATTTTCTCTATTTTTCAGTTATCTAAGAAGTAGTTGCTATAATAATCATTTATTCAGCAAAATGATTATTTCAAAAATCAGGTTCTGAAATAATCAATTATTGCTCAAAATAATTGATTAAATTGTTCTTGGTTGATTTCTAGAATTGCTAAGAACAAAATAATTTATTATCTATATAAATTATCGATTATTTCAGTTAGAAAAATTGTATATATCGTTTATCACACCTTGGACAAAGAACTTTTTGAACTTTTGAATCTTTGTGATATAATTTATGAAAACACTCTCTATAACATATTTCTCTCTACAAGAGGAGGTTTTTTGCCTTTTGTGGTAACCTCAAGAAAATTTTTCAAGAATTGAGTTGATCATCATCTTCATAGGGTGAAAGTTTAAGCTACATGGTTGATTCACCTTCTTTGATCTATTATGCAAATCAAGTGAATTTGTTCCTTAATTCTTTATACTAGTTGTTATCTTAAGTAGGTTTCTTAAGAAAAGAGAATCTTATAGTGGGGTGCTACAAGTAAGTGCTTCTTGGGATTTAAGAAGTGATTTCTTTACTAGTGTAGAAATGTATTTCATGTGATATTGTGATTGTAAAACTTCTAACACTAAAGATTAGTGAAAATTCTCAATCAGATTGGTTAGGCACTGGATGTAAGTCACAAGTGGATGTGGCTAAACCAATATAAATTGAATGTGTATTTTTTTCTTTCCTTACACTTGAATTCACATTCTTTCATTTTTGTTTTCATGCTTATTGATATGTATTGTTAGGCATGTTCATTGCATTAATAATTGAGTGAATTTAGACTTATATATTAAATCTGAACTAAGTATCCTATCCAAAAGTTATAAGTCAACACACTTATTTGGAAAGATTTAGAAAAATTTAAGAAACCAAGATAGTTGTGCAAGAAACTTTGGAAAACCAATTCAACCCTATCTTAGTTAGACCATCTTTTCTAACACACATTGCCCATGCAATTACGTTGACCAATGCAAGAAAAACGCTCTAGTGACCAAGGCGACACATTCTCCCCTTCAATCTAGCAACCTTCATATTGAGTTCTCCTTCTTCTTCTTTTTTCCTTATGTTTTTAGAGTTTGTGGTGGATAATGTGGGTTTCCTCATTACTTATTTGGTTCTTGTTAAGTTCCTCTCCAGTATGATCAACTTCATGTTTAATTCTTCTTCGCTTGCACTCCTATGTTCAAAGCTTTTGTTCTCTTTCTTCCATGATTTTAAGGTTTGCTCATTATAGAATATGTTGGTCAACACCAACCATTCTATGATGGGTAAATTTTCATTTGCCATAGAATGTCTAGTTATTACCCATGTTGAGAGCACGAACCCAGTTAGCATTCCACTATTTCTTCTTCTTCTCTAGCAACGACATTTGAGGAAATTTTTTAGCCAAGCTCTATATGCACATTGTTGATCAAGCTCAAGATGAATACATGATCCTAGTTAGTTTTGATGATTACAATGAGCATCTTGAGAGATAAGAGTGTAACTTGTAATTTACTTTGTGTTTTGAGTCTCTTGATAAATAAGAGTGCAAGTTGTATCTTGTTTTGTGTGGTTTTAAGCTTTGTTGCTTGTGTGACTTTGTGCTTGATAATGGATTATTCGGAAAAATAATCAATTATTTTAGAAATCAAGTTCTAGAATAATGGATTATTGCTCAAAATAATCAATTAAATTGTTCCTGGTTGATTTTCATAATAACTAAGAATAAAATAATTGATTATCCATATAAATAATCGATTATTTGAGTCAGAAAACTTATATATATCATTTTGCACACCTTTTGTGATATCATTTACAAAAACACTCTTTGTAACACATTTGTCTCTACAAGAAGATGTTTTTTGAGCTTTGTGGTAACCCCAAAAAAGTTTTCGAGAATTGAGTTGATCACCATCTTCACAGGGTGAAAGGTTAAACTACTTGGTTGATTCACCTTCTCTACTCTATTTTGTACATCAAGTAAATTCGTTCCTTAATTCTCTGTACTAATTGTTATCTTAAGCAAGTATCTTAAGAAGAGAGAATCTTGTAGTAAGGTGCTACAAGTATGTGTTTCTTGGGATTCAAGAAGTAATTTTTTTAATAATGTAGAAGTGTATTGCATGTAGTATTGTGATTGTAAAACTTCTAACATTAAAGATTAGTAAAAAATCTCAATCGAGTTTATTGGGAACTAGATGTAGGTTACAAGTGGATGTGACTAAACCAATATAAATTGGTTGTGCATTTTTCTTTCTCCCTACACTTGAATTCATATTCTTGCATTTCTATTTTCATGCTTAATAATATGTGTTGTTAGGAATATTCATTGCATTAAGAATTGAGTGAATTTAGACTTGTATTAAATTTGAACTATGTATCCTATCCAAAAGCAATAAGTTAACCAATTTATTTTTTAGAAACCAAGATAGTTGCACAAGAAACTTAGAAAAATCAAGGTGTGGCACGTTCTTCTTCAAAACCAAGGTGGCACCTTCTTCTTCTTCTATATGTTTTTAGGGTTTGTGGTGGATAATGTGGGTTTGCTCATTACCTATTTGGTTCTTATTCAATTCCTCTCCAATCTGGCCACCTTCGTGTTTAATTTTCCTTTGCTCGCACTCTTAGGTTCAAAGCTTTTCTTTTCTTATTTCTTCCATGGTTTTTAGGGTTTGCTCATTGATTATCTATTTGCTCATATTTAGGTTTGCTCATTGATTACCTATTTGATCATTTTGTATTTGATCATTATCTGTTTTGATGAATCTATGTGTGAACTTTGTATACACGCAAAGAAATGATTTGAACATTAATAAGATATATGTAATTTACGATTAATTTAATAGTAATTACATTCTTAATATCACAAGAATATATTGTTATTAAAAATTATGTTTATAGTAAAGCTAATTCGCTCGAACTTCTTCATATTTCATGAGCAAGCAATAGAGCTTCAACTTCTTAAATAGGAAAAGGTTCAAATTTACTCTAAATAATTAATAGAGTAAATTAAAAGATGAGGGACCATATCATACAATTTAAAGTTCTTAGTTTCCTTTTGTATATCTCTTTCTGAACATATTAACTGATATTCGAACTGAAGCCACTCAGTTTAACCAAGAAGTTACTTTAATTTACAGGTGCTATCAAATGCTTGGGATCGATGTTTTTTATCATAAGCCTTCTTGAGAACCACCACACATTCAACATGGTGATGGAACCTGGGCTTTACGAGTCTTGGAACCACTTCGAAACTTGAACTCAACATTACACGTACTACTAGAGGCAACCCTCTTCCAGAATCTAGCATATCTTGCATGCTTCTTCCTGCACCATACATTGGCTTGTTCTTCGCTCCCATTTGTAATGCAAAGATTGTTAAGCCACTCTCAGCATAGAGCTCGTTCCCCTGCAGTGTTGGATTTGGATCAATGATAATACGATACATGAAGATAAGCAAAGAATGTTTAGGGGTAAAGATCCATAAAATTAATTCTTATTTAAAAGATATTGAGATGTTACAAAACTAATCATGGTTGTAAATTGTAATAACAGCCATTGCGACTGTTACTGTGAATTGTAACGGTATAAAATTATTATATATTTGAACTAAACATAAATAAATAATTTTATAATAATAAAAATTTGAGTTATCAAAACGATTCGGTCTGACCAGTTTGGTTCGATCTACCTCAATTTATTTTTTCAGTGACTTGAGCTCGGTCTAATTCATTAATCTTAATGTTCAAAATTTTTTAACCCAATCTAACCTATCATGGGTTGGTGGGTTAATCGGGTCGATCTACTAATTCACCTAATTTTTTTAAAAAAATTTAATTTAAAATAAAATTTAATCTAAAATAATTTATAATCTAAAGTAAAGATTGTAAAACTAAGTATCATGCATACAACATTAAACTTAAATAAAAAAGTGTATAACTCTAAATAATCAAACCAAAAAAATAAAAATTCTTTCATTAAAGTGATTATTCATCAATATTAAACTTCATTAGAGGCTTGAGTAAATAAATTTATAATAATTTCATATTGTTTAATATCAACTTTATCGTTATCAACAAAAAATGATATCTTGTTAAAACAATACATATATAATAATAAATGAGTTAAGTGAATTGTTAGTGGATTGAGTTCATGGGAGTGTAATTAAATGGGTTAGATGGACAATATGACCTACTACGAATTCAACCTAGGTGCACCAAGTCGAAAGTGGATTAGATTACATTTTTTTTATCCATTATGAAAATTTAAAAAGTGTATAACTCTAAATAATCAAACCAAAAAAAATAAAAATTCTTTCATTAAAGTGATTATTCATCAATATTAAACTTCATTAGAGACTTGAGTAAATAAATTTATAACCATTTCATGTTGTTTAACATCAACTTTATCGTTATCAACAAAAAATGATATCTTGTTAAAACAATACATATATAATAATTAATGAGTTAAGTGAATTGTTAGTGGATTGAGTTCATGGGAGTGTAAATAGGTTAGATGGACAGTATGACCTACTACGAAATTCAACCTAGGTACACCGAGTCGAAAGTGGACTGAATTACATTTTTTTTATCCATTATAAAAAATTTTTTTTTTTTGACTCGGCCCGACCCTTTTCAAGGTAAGCCAGGTCGAAATTCATTTTAACGACTTTAATAAAAATCAATCAAACCTTTTTTTTTTCTTAAATTATTTACTCCAAACTTCTCTTTTTTCTTAAATGCATCATGTAACTCCCAACACTTCAATCAACTATTATTAGTTATCTTTATCTCTATCTTAACATTCCATCCGACCAAAATTATTAAATTAAAAGATTAAAACTAAACTTTGTTTTTAATTGAAAAAAAAAATGAAATAAAACGATATTGTTATTGCGTGCAGAATTTTCAATAATTTAAAATAACGCCACAATCATTACGATTGCCGAAAACACTACAACAACAATGTTGCGACTCACAACTTCTGAACTGCAATTTAAAACCATGGAACTAATATATTATGAAATTATAAAATTTATCATACGTAATTGCATTTGCAAATTATATAATTTAGTTATTTTATACAGAAATTTGAGTTTGCGCAGTAAATTTCGTTAAAAAGTTATTGAGCTCCCTGAATGCATAGATAATCACAATTAAAGATGACAGGTTAACAATCTAAAGAAAAGTATAGAGAATGAAAAGTATAAATATATATATATATATA